TCTGATTCATCCTCAAAAATGTATAAGATATATACGTGCACACTTCGATTCATCCTCAAAAATATGTAAATGAAGCATTTGTCTTAAAAATATACAAGAAAAAGAAGTACCGAACACTGAGAGCATTGCTTCCATACGTATCTGCCTCTCGCTAGCGTCGTCCACGATATTGCTATTGAACTACGGCGGCGACGTTCGCGAGGTTCAGATCCGACAACCGTTACCAGCTGAAAACTCAGCTGGCTCATCCGTGCAACGCACATGTCAGCCCACCTGGTCGCGGCCTCCCTCGAGGATGTTTTGCTTTGCGAGGGATCCCTTCTAGAGTTTTCAGTGTTCAGCTGTCGTCTGTTGTTCTCATCAGATGACAGCGCATCGATGTTTTGCTTTAGAGGCGTATTCCGCTGGATCGTGAAGATGAGACATTGATCTCACTCGACTCCGCCGACGTAGATACAGTATCGAACCACGTCTATGTTGCGTAATGCGGGAAGAATGGTTTAGTCGAACAGAGCTTGTAGCTCTGGGTCTGTCAGCTGGCCTGCGGCCTCCTTTAGGGGCCCGAAAGTGGTCCAAGCTGGTCTTCGCCTCCTGTCCAGTTCTTTTTTTAGATGTTCTTCGTGTTCATTGAAAGCCCGAGATATACACTAGAAGACGTCTCAGCGATTGGAGAGCCTTGATTCCATTTTCTGATCCTCGCAAAAAGCGTTCTTCATAAACTGAGTCCTCTTCCGGTTGATTCGCAGTCCTTTTCGCTGCCCCACTTCGTTTAGTTCCTTCAACATCGTCTCCACTTTAATGATATTCTTCGAGAAGAGAATAATGTCGTCAGCAAAAACGAAGGTAACGTAAGGTATTAGAACGTCAATCTCTCATCACCCATCAGGGATGCTGATGGGAGGAATCTCCCATCAGCATCCCTGATGGGTGATGAGAGATTGACGTTCTAATATGTACCTTATGTTGAAGTAAACTAAGTCTGTTGCCCCATGGTTCTTCATCGCTGGTTCCATCGATGGCAGTAAAAGTTTAATAAAAAGTGAAACAATGTCCTGCCTGATATCCACGAAGCGATATAGAGAATCTGCTTTGTTAAGGATCCTTCAAATTATACAATGCCTTGCTGTAACGAGTCCAAAAAATTCAACCACGGCACTCGGAAGTTTCAAGGTAATGAGCCAATAGTATTTCTTGATATGTCAGATGCTTAATTTAAGGACGAAGAAACGAGGGAAAGTGATGAAGAACATGTTTTGAAAAAAGCGATTGACAGATGCGTCACTGCGCTATTTACGAATACGGCTGACAATATAACTTCGGTAGGAAGAGATGTCCTATGATAAGGCAGAAGCTTTCTACTAATAATGTTTTGATTTTTTAGAAACTTGCACAAAAAGTTCTAACGTTTGTGAAAACTAATCAATTTGAAAGCCAACTAGCAACGGACATGATATCATCGCTGATTTCGCAGATGACCTATGTGAGTTCCACTAATATTGGATAAGAATAACCAATGAAATTCTTCACTCAGGCATCGCCAAGATTTTGGTTACCATTTGCTGAACATGTTCTGCATAATCTTCGCAGCCTGTTGACCCGTGCGTTTGACTAATGAGCTTCTTTCTGAACTGTTCAGTCAAAGTCCCAAAAAACAAGAATATATTGTCCATCTTAGCAGTGGCAAGGTAGAACTAACAGTTTTCTTTTCAGCTGATGCCCAAGCCGCTGAAGAGCTCGAAACCTCTACGCAGTGGTTTGTTGGTCTTGCTGGATCACTACTATCAACCACTAGTGAAGTAAGAGAGAATTCTCGGTTGTTTGTACAACATATATGCCCATATTCTTTTAGAATTACCTTGAAAAGAAGGATATTTGCTTTGAAATGATAGGCCTACTCGTAGCGTGCAAAAATAAGGTGGCGTACAATGTAAGCTTTGTAAGAACTCAACCTACAACACTTCCGAACTTCTATATAAGTAAAGTCTAGAATGGAGCAATAGGTCTCTGGTATATGCTTTACATGCTTTCCCGAATTTATCCCGAAAATTCACGATACATCAGCGATCGGCTGAACCGCCCACTTAGTGAATGGGTGCCTGTAAGGGTAAGTGCAGAAGAAACGCAAAATACTGTTGTGGACTGAAATGTTCTGATAAAAAATGTACAGGAGTGGGGTACACTGCATGATCTTCAACAATCAAAAATGGCATGGTATGTACCTGGTGAGAAAGGAAAAGAGCTGGTGAAATTGCTTTTGAGAAAATTTGTGTTTCCTGTAGTCGACTTATTGCGAGATGAAAAACTGGACAGGTTCAAGTCAAAAATTATCTCAAACTTCTTTCTTGATTATCCATTTTTCAGAGACACGTTGAAGAAAGCATTCTTCATTTTAAGTTACGGTTTGAGCGGTTCCATCACTTGCTTTCCTATGCCGTGTTCTCCCGTGTTTGATTCACCTAATACAGTCTTACCTTGGTTTAAAGCCGATTTAGCCAATCCCTCCGTCGTCAGCTGGGGTTAGAATGTGCTCTGCTATGAATATTGCTCCATGATTATTTCCAGATATTCCTTATCCATCGGGTAGAAATTTTCGCGAAGAGCTCGTAGATGTATTGGAAAAGGTTATAGAACGATTGGTGACATCTAAAAGAGAGCACACTCAAGTTTTGTCATGCATATGCCGAATACTCCATAATTTGATTGAAACAAGTTACACGGACTCGGTACATCAAATTAGTTCCTTCAAGCTCCTGTTTGCAGATTTTTTTCTTCAGCACCAATTAGACATAGCATCTGGCGAACACTCCGATATTTACAACTACTTGACGACACCACTTTCGAGGAAAGTGCAAATTTTTGTGCTTGAATCTCAAGCATATGTTTCACATATGGTAAGCAATTACTTCTCATAACTTTGATTTATTTGGTAATCAGATGAGTTTCCAGAGAATGGTGGTTGAATCTCCCGAACGTGCTTTCACCATGTTCCATTTGAGAGTGTTTCATTTACTGGCTCGTTTGACCTTGAATGATTATTCTGAAGTAAGTTCCCTATGAAAATTATATTCTAGATAAGTAACGCAGCAAAGATATAGATAAACTATAATCTTAGGTACGCGGGGAGGCGCGAGCTGTTTTATCCACGCTTTTCTCGGAGTACGCTATTGCAAAAGAAACCATTGTAGAGGATATTCTTCCCACGCTTAGTGATCCGAATAGCACTAGGGATCAACTGAAGGTGAAACTTAAGCTTCAATTAGTTTTTTTCATAAATGGTAAAAACCATTTAGGGGGCTTTGTGTATGATTTCACAATCAAATTGGGCAACTTCAAGCACCATAGGTACTAAAATGAAAGTTTGGAAAGCAATTATCGAAATGAAGGTTAAATAGAGTTGGATAGTCCTCCGACAAGCTATAAGAGTTTAATGATACTAGTTAAGGTAGTCGATTACCCTGAGGTTATTGATCTTTACGATGACTTGTGGAATGAAATCGGGAAAATGCAAAAACCGGCTCGAAAGCATTACGTATGCCAAATTTCTTGTTTCCATCATAACGTTGAGCAACTGTAAATTAGGAATGCAAAAAATTGAACGCTTTCTGCAAAGAGTGGCTTCATGAGCTTCCGAAAAGTGGAGAATGGTCAAAGTTCAAAGATCCAAAAGTTCTGGAGGATACCGTAAAAATGAGGGCAGCACGGAGGGCCGCAAATCAGAAGTAGTTTACTACTCAACATGCTTCGCAGGTTTTAGAGTAGGAAAATTTGTTTAGAGAGCAA